TGCTTTAATAAACAATTCAATCAATTGCTTTAATAAACAATTCAATCAATTGCTTTAATAAACAATTCAATCAATTGCTTTAATAAACTCTTAGTAACGAAAAAGAACATTATACTTTTGTTAACTTTTGGATCCTAACTCCATATTTTGTATTAGTCCTTTGTTTCTTATAGAACGGATTCGCAGAACATGACACGTTTTCGGAACGCAACTACTGTGTTATACGAGGGATAATTACACAGTATTAACTTTTAAAACAATAAAATCAAATTAAGATAAAAGATTTTTGGACATTCGGACACAACGGATCTTTAAAAGTAAAACAAAATTTAGCTTATCAATAAACTTAGTTAAATAGAACAATTAATATCCGTGGGTATTTTAAAGCAATAAAAAGCGTTTTGTTTTTTACTGTTTTTAAAATGTATTAAAAATAATGCAAGGCACTACTTTTTTATCCCGAAAATATGAATGATAAAGAACATAATGAATGATAAATTAAAGAATTTGAAGTTCGTGTACAGTATTGTGACAAGTGATGACATTCGTGTACTTATCCGGGGTCTTGAAAAGCTCGAAATGGCCTCTGTACAGTACTTGAGTTCTTAAATGCATATGAGCAACAAAGTGTCGTTCGTTTCTTGTGGGCCAAAGGACTAAATCAGGGGTCACCAAACTACGGCCCGCGGGCCAGATCCGGCCCGTGAGGTCAATTCATCCGGCCCACCGCCGCACTGTACCACAAAAGAGTTCAAATATAATTATTTATATGGAAATATCAGATTGTAGATGAACCTACTACGTAGAAAAAATTAAAATAAGTGTAAGTAAAATTGGTCCAATCTGATTTTTGCATTTGACAGTAATATAATTTTAGGAAAATCAGTGAAATGAAAAATTCGCCGACTTTTTGAGACTGGATATCAGAGCGCTTTTTGTGTAAGTACCTGAAATGAAGTTTCTAAGAAAAGCGATTATGAGCTTACTGCAACGATCGTGTTGTGTATTGGTAAATAAATATGTTGGTTTTCTTTATTTTTTGTGTATTCAGTATAAAATATTGAACAAAATGGTTATGCGGCCCGCGCTCGTCATTCTCTCAGTTATGTGGCCCGCTGTAAAAAAGTTTGGTGACACCTGGACAAAATGATACTGAAATTTTTCACGAAATGGTTCTCGCGTACGGAAGGAATCAAATTAATGGCAGAGAGAATGATACGTTGGTAGCGTTGCGATTCCAGAAAGAACGTCTTAATGCTGCACACTAAGATTTTCAGATCGTCTGCATATGTCCTTCACAGATAAAAAAATTGAGTGGAGACCATGGTGGAAAAACCGCCATGTTACTCTAGAAAAGTTCGCAACAAAGTTTAATGTATCCTTCAAGGCAGTTTAAGACATAGTTCACAATGCATTAGTGTATTAGAAAGTTGCGTGTCGATAACTTCTCAAAATGTCTGATGAAAATGAATGATAGTGTAGAGATTGTGGAGACAAGTGTCCAGGTGAACAAAGCAGTTCACTTGGACACTTGTCTCCACTATTTGCAATGCTGTCAGAATGGAAAGGAATTCTTACTCGATAGACAGAATTGCCGTGGGAGGAGAATCCTGGGACCAACAAACCTGGAAAATCAAAAAAGTGCAAAACCAGTAAGCATCAGTTTTTTGGATCGCTATGGGTCACATAATGTAGAGTTTCTCTCCAAGAAATCTGTAAATACTGCCATATGCGTCTTGACATTATTATGCTTGCATGCGATGATCAGACGAAAGAGGCCAAACCTTCAGATGAAGGACATTATCACACCTCTTAAATAACAGGTTTGAGGTCTTGCACTGTTTCTGCAAGATCGCACACCGCCAACATCATTTAGCAGAAAGCCTAGTCCTGGAGTTCGGAGATCTTGCAGCATCCACTGTAAGTCCAGATTTCGTTCTTTCTGATTACAGTCTCTTCGAACTTTTAAAAAATCTCTTCCTGGAAAACACTTCATAAGAAGTTCAAGCAGCAGTACAAAGGTGATTTCTAATGCACAGGAAGTTTTTATGATAGTGAGATGCATAACCTGACGAAGCTATGGGATAAATGTATTAACAAATTAGACAATTATGTCGAAAAGTATAGGGCAGTCCGAGGTATCACATGTTTGCTACTTTGTACTTCTATGTCTTGTAGTTATTGATTAAAATTTGGTGGCAAAGTTAAGTATGCTTTTATATAAATTAAATTAGATTTATCAAACAAGGCAACACAATACATAGGCGATCTGCCAAGAGGGAGCACCTACCGGGAGAATTTTAAATAGTAAACTGCTTCTATATAGATGTTAGATACGTGAAGAAAACCCGGAAAACTTCATGCTACAAGCTCGTTGGTGAGGCGTCTGATCAGAGTTCATTGTTCAGGTGCAATGTGCATGGCAATAGCTGCTTTAGAAAATTTAGCATTAGTTGCGTAACTTTCTCAGCGACTATATTTAAAACTGCGTGTGCGCCATCTGTTATGATATTCTGTTAAAAATTTTTCTGTAATTAATTATTATAAAATGGCAAAAAGCTTAATTTTCAGGGCAGAGATAAGTTTTATATTTAAAAAGTTGTAAATACTAATAACGAGGAAAATCGTCATTAAGTCCGACCATACTCGAGATATAACACATCACCCCCGTCTAGCTTCCTATCCCCTTGATCTTTAACCACATCCTCTAACACACAAACTACTGCAAAATTCCAGAAAGTTTCGGCAAAAGACACAAGAGTTATTAAGCTTCAAAATGGGTAAATAAAATCCCCCACACGCTAACATCTAAAGCGCGTTAAAAAATTACGTTATCAAAGTCTTGGGAGGCCACAAATTAGAACTGTGCAGGCTGCCCATGATTGATTTAAAGTAACCTTTAGTACCTTGAAGGATCTCTTCTTGTCTGGATATGTGAAGCAATACGGTCGGACATGGAGACATCACATGCTATCTTGCCACAGATTTACCAGAAGCTGCAATTGTTCCTCTAGATCCAGTGCGTGACTACTAAAGCGCAGTTAAACGACGCTTATGGGCCCATAAATAAAGGCGGCCAGACACTCTTTGTACGGATTAGAAAATTTGAGAATTTTTTAATTATATAAGAAAAAAAACTGATATTTTTCCTGTTTGTTCTGACTAGAAGCGATTAATTTTAAATAAATGTATTTTTTATTTTAGATAGTTTTTACAGTTTATTCTTTCCAATTGCATTTATTTAGAATTTATAATAAATGAAATATTAATTACAATTTTACTTTTCTTTTATTCTAAAAATGAAATGTAATTATAAAGTTAACAATAAAGTATTTTTAGCTATTTTAAAACTTAATATGATACTATCTTGAATAAAAATAAAAATTTTTAATATATTATAATGTAAAATGATACAACTTATTAATAAAGANAAAAACAGCATTTATTTTTGTTATTAAATAAGAATTTTATGATTTTACTTACCTAGAGCTGCAACTCGATTGATAAACATCATAGTAATACTGAGATTTATATCTCCATTTAATAAATGAGACCATACGACATTCATATTTCCTCCATGAGAATACAACTACTTTATTCCAATAAATCAAACGTACTTCATTTATATTCTCAATTATTATTCTTCATATTGATAATTATATGCAATACTCCTTCTAACAGCATTTCGCATTAAAATCTGACGTTAAGTAATAAATTAAGTACAGAATTATCTAATTAGTATCCAATGACGTCTTTAAGAGGAATATTGACCCTCGTTTGACTTAGAATGTCAGATGTAAGTTACTTAATTAAGTTTTAATGTATGATATGAATTCGTATTGGATAATTATGTTTTTTTATTAAGATAATAAGTGAAGCATTTAGTTGTAATGCATAAAAATTGTTAAAATGTTATCTTAAAAAAAATATATTTTTTAAAAATATTTATATAATATTACATTTTTCTTTTTAAAATAAAATTATGTTATTTGTTATAAGTAAACTATTAACATCATCATATTAAATTAGAAGTTCAAATTTTAATCTAAATTTTTAAAAAAATCGAAAGTTTAATTAGATGAAAATATTTAATGTTTTATGAAAAAACCTTCTAAAATCTTTAGATTTAAATATATGAAAACATTTAAAAATTAAAAAGTTTATTATTATGAGTTTCGTTATTACAAAATACAAAATTTATTATTTTTACATAAAATAATAATTTTAAAATATTTATTGAAAAATAAATTTAAAAAAGCAATTTGTTACAATAATTTTTCTTATTAATCAAGTCTTCTTAAATATTTATAATTTATTTTTAATTGGACGTTCTAGACAACGGCGCCCGCAGACTATGAAAAGGAGAGGGGGCACAAACTATAAAAAAGGGTATCGTACATTATGCAAGAAGCTTCAAACTCTATGATTCAACGTCGGATCAGAGCTCCTACAAAGTGGCTCTGGTTGCATTCGGAGCTAACATGGCCTTGAAAACAAGGAATGGAGTTTCGTTGAACATACGACGAAGTTGCATGGGTCAATGGACAAACATCGTTCATTAGTTTCCTTCATATTTGCAGAATAGGCTAAAGTTACGAATTTTCTATTATTTGGGTTCCCCTTGGGGATTAGAAAAAGGGCAACTGAGACAAAAAGAGGAATACGTGCCCTAAGTGCCTCAATGTAATGGCGCCCCTGGTTCTAGATCCAGAATAATGTAGTCTTAGTATTTGTATTTGTATTTGTCTTGAATAAAGTTCTATTAGTCTGAAAATGGATTTTAATAAATCTATTGTTCCTATTTGGAAAAAAGTAGTTGAGATTTATTAATTGGAAAAGTGTAGTGATTAGCATTTAGATTACTATATTACTTATTAATATTAATAATTGCTAATATTTCCGAAATGCTGAAATCAAAACGTTCGTATATGAATATTTATATTTTTAGAAAACATTATTTAATATAGCCTATATAATTTGATTATATAAAATTGAGAGGGTTACCTTAATAAAAAAAACAAGATCTTTAAAAAATGTTTATTTTATAGCATCATTATCACTTATATAAATTTTGTTATTGTTACAATTGTTTTTATTGTGTAATGAATGTGTCTTTTTGTTTATGAAACAATTTTTGATTACCTTAAAAACTAAAATGCATGATATAAAAAACATATTTAATGTCAATTGAGCAACAACAGGAATTTCAGTTAATTCTGTATCTGAATGAATTAAAGATAATTTAAGCATCAAAAAAGCCATTCCACCATTTTGAAAAGAAGTCTCAACTACTATGACTAATATCTGAGGTTTCTCCAAGCGAAAAAGCCAAGCAACACTAAAACTGAATAAAAATCCGAATGAAAAAAGACAGAAGCATGATATTATGACTTTCCAAGTGATTTGTAAAAATAAGTATTGATGAATCGATAAAAGAATAACGATAGCTATCATGATCATTATTATTAAAATAGGCCGGATTAATTTTAATATCACTAGCGCTAAGTTCGGTTTAAACTGACGAATTAATAATCCAATTCCTAACGGACATATTAATGATACCAGAGATACAAGTAATTTAAAGTAAGAAAAGACGAATTGACCTTCGTAAAATAATTCTCTTCCAAGAATGAAAAACCATAATGATGTCAAACCTAAAAAGTAGAAAAAATAGTGAACGGTTACAATGTAAAAAAACAGCATTTATTTTTGTTATTAAATAAGAATTTTATGATTTTACTTACCTAGAGCTGCAACTCGATTGATAAACATCATAGTAATACTGAGATTTATATCTCCATTTAATAAATGAGACCATACGACATTCATATTTCCTCCAGGAGAACAACCAAGTGCAAAAAGTCCAAGACGAAGGTGCCAATCATTTAATAATAAGTAACCAATTCCTAATGACATCTATTATTAAAATAAATATATTAAAAAAGATTCATTTCTATATAAAAGTAATACTTTTATTTATTTTAAGTTTATATGGTGATATTAGATTAAGTTAATACTGTAGATATATGTCTAGCTCCGTCACTTACCGCTCGTTTGTTCCCATTGTGAGCCTGACCGAACTCTCGATGGGCATGATTAAAAGATTCTCTTAGTGCCCATTGAGAAGAAAGAGTTTAAAAATTCCTGATATTATATATATATGATTATATAAAAAATATATTCTTGTTATTTTTGCCGACTCTATTTGCTTTTGATGAACAAAATGTCTAAATCTTAATTTTTTTATTTGGTCATATTAATCAATTAAACCTATATTATCATTATTAATTGAAAAATATTTATATACGTTTCTAAGTAAAGAAAATTTTATAAATTTTATTTTTAACGAAATTTTTAAGGAAACGTTTAAAGGAAGAATTGATATAAAAGTTTAAGTAGGTCTGTATGTCATTGTTAAATAGTGCAATAAAAGCAAATAAGAAATTTATAGAAACAATAAAATTTAATGTTAACATGTTTTTAAAAATCTAATTTCAAACATAGCATAATAATAAAAATTATATAGAACATTTATTTAATTGTTCAACCCCGAAACGCTTATTTGCATACTAAATAAAAACTTTAAATTGTTCCTATTTCCTATGCTTAAAAATCCGGTTAACTGCATAACGCTTAGATACGTGAAGAAAATCCGGAAAACTTCACGTGGCCAGCCTGTATGGTGAAGCTTAAACCCAGTGTCCAAATTTTATTCACTCGATCACTGGGGGCCTTTTTGATTGCTTAAAAAATGTTTTAAATACTTTAATAATTAATTTTATATCATTTAATGCATAATATTTTGACAGACATAAACAGAATCAGACGTTCGAAAAATAACATTTCACTACAGTTATTACATTTCATCTAATATTAATTAATTTTATAATTCAACAAGTAAATATAATAAATTAATTTTTATTAAACTCACTAAAACCGATAATTTAATTTACTCTTAAGATATATTATGATTCATGAAATTGAATTTAATATGTTTCAAGATGGTTGTCATTTATTAACGCCATCAATATAAATAACTACATATCTATCACATTCAAATCTTAGCAGAATGCCTACACCTATGAAAATTTGTTTACAATTTAATTTATAGCTACCATGAAAATTTATATGCGTGAATAAAAGGATCATTCTGGTTTAAAATCTCCTCCTTCTGCTGAGATAATTTAATAGTATGAGATATTTCTAAAGTTGAGAAATGAATTTAATACATTATTATAAACAACATTGACATAATGTACAAACTATAATTCAAATTGAAATTTATCAAGGAAATTGGTAGTAATGTATAAAATTGGAAATTTAATGTCATAATTAAATTATATTGATTCAACAAAGGAGTTTTAGTAACGATTTCTTGTAACCAAACATTCAGTTTAAGGTATAAATGCTATTCGCTTACACTTTAAAATGAATTATCATAAGAATTAAGTATATAAGTATTAATTAATTAGTGTGTATATGTATATATACATATGCAGTGTGTATATGTATATATACATATACACACTGCATACATATAAATATATATACACTAATTTAAAGTTTTTCTTAATAACGAGCAATGCATCCCAAGTCATTATAAGTCATTATTATTCTATTAAGGAATCATTTATTTTGGTTATTACATAGGAATAAAAAGTTAACATATTTTAAGTTAAAAAGTATAAAAACTTTTATATAACTCACAAACAAAAATCTTGTAAAGATTTAATAATTAATCCACGTAGAAACAGCGAATAAATAAACTTAAAAATATTTGAAATGATACAAAAAATTTGTGTTAAATTAAGAACATTTTATATTAGAAAAATAAAATATTAAAACAGCATTTATTATATTAATTATATCAGAAAATTTTCTGTAAAATATTAGTATTATTTTTAAAAAATGCTTGAATTAAATCATTAACTATATGATTTAAAATATGAATCTTAATTTTTCCAGATGTTTATAATGCAAATTAAGATTCATAACACCGTAATGAAAAGTTATAGAAACACTTCAAAATAAAACGGGTGTCTTCATAATTTGTCCTTATCACACACTTCGGAAAATATAACAAAGTCACACGGAATCAAACTTTACTTTGAGGCTCTTCGCGTCAATATGTTAAATTTGTTTATAAAAGTCCTCTTTGTTTACTGTGTAGCTTGTTAACAAGTATTGTTACAAACAAGTTCCTGAAATGTATGAAAAGAAACAAATTTAAAAGATATCCGTTTTGTTTTTGAGTATTTCTGTGAAATTTAATTATATATTTCTCATCCTGGTTTTATAGTCGAAAATGATTAATATTTTCTTTGGAATGGAAATTCCAAAAAATATACTAAGTTTATTTATTTCAGAACCAATAATATTACAGAGGAATAGATAATATTGATTTATGAAGTTGTAAAACTAAAACATTAAAGCATTATTATTGATATTTAGTTTGTTTACAGTATTTCAGAATTATTTTGATGTGATTGTCATATAATTGATTTCTTATATGATGATCACATAATTTATTCTATACAATATTTCTTCTTCTATTTGCAATGTTTCTATTAATTCTCATTTTTTATCATATACAGTATATTGATTAAATAGTTAATATAAACAGTGGGCGATCGGTTAACGAACATAATCCGTTCCAAGACTTTATTCGCTATCCGAATTGTTCATTAACCGATTATCGATTTACCATAGGTTTTAATGGGAATTTAATTAATTCGTTCTGGAGACCGCCAAAAATAAAAAATATATACTTTCTTACTACGTTTATTTATATGTAATAATAAAAATACATACATGCACAGTCTTGCGTTTTTATTAGTCATGTTTTTTCCGTTTGAAAGGGTTAAAGAATCTGTCTAATGTCGATTGCTTTTCTCTCTGCTCCTGGATTTTTCAGAAGTAATTAATAGCATTGCAATTGTAGAAATCTCCAAGCCTCAACCTGGTTTGGATGCCATTCCAAGACCGTTGTTCTGACATCTTCCCACTTCTTCAAAGGATCTTTAATAACAGATATCGACATTAATCCTCTTTTTCGGAAGAAAACATATCTCGCCGAGTTTCTTGGTGTTTTTCATTCAAGCGTTATTGGCGTTCTTCTGTCGTCAGATCCGATTCAGGTTCCATTATGAACTCTTCGATGTTCTTTATTTCTCAAATGTGCTTTTTGTTACTCCTTTAGCTGCTTGAGTCTTCTTGATTATATAGTATTTTTCTTAAATAAGATTGAACTGCGGCCTACTGTAGCTGCCCACTGCCCACGAACATTACTCATTCACGCCATACTGCCCAGCAACATTAGTCATCATCTGCCCACTCTCTACCTTTGCTATTATACTCTCATCTTTCGAAAAGAAAAACAGACGCAAAACTTAACGAGTGTCCACCCGACAGTCTCGTGAATACATAAAAGAATTGTTTTGTCAGAAAAATAAACGGTTGGAATTACAAGGGAGAGTTTCAAAGTTCGGAGAAATACTATCCGATCGGTACATACAGGCTTGAGCGTCGATGTCGACGTCTCCCACACTCCGAAAAGTTTCGAATTGTTGCCCGAAGACAAGAGAAGACCAATCGGTATTCATTATTTTACGTCGCTTCTTCTTGTGTTCGTTCTGTGCGGCGTTCGTTATCCGATCATGTGTTCGTTGTCCGAACATAAAAATCTTTCGCGAAAGTGTTCGTTATCCGATTTGTTCGTTAACCGATCACCCACTGTATATATATACAAATATAACCTATATATATGCATGTATAAATTTATAATGAATACATGTAAGTACATACATATCACATAATCATTCTATAATCATGCTGTAAGCGTATTTCTAATATGTTTTGACATTGCAATATAATAAAATAATCGTAAGGAAAGAATCCCTTTTTAACACTATCTAGACCAGGGGTGTTCAACCTTTTTGTTTCCCTGGGCCACATTGGAAGAAGTCATGGAGTTTTGGGTCACAAGTAGGCCTATATTTTGGCCCAATCCTTAAATATATAAGTATATTTAAGGATTAACATGTCTAGATTATAGTAATAAGTATTAAAACTTTATTAAAAAATTATTTCTAAAAAATTTTATTTAAAAATACTGTAGATAAATTCATTTATTATAAAAGAGACAAACAAAAATTTATTTGAAAAACACAAATATTTGTTTTATTTGGGTCTGTAATTAATAGAAACGACGAAACACCATTTTAAAGTGCATTTTTATTCAACTAATATATTTATAAATAATATATAGCCCAAAAAGTAACCAATGTGCCAACTGATATTTTTTACATCAAACTAATAAAAGGTAGCCAAATTTGGCGCAAAATAGCCAAATCTTGCAACGCTGGAAGAAATACTAAATAAAGCTGGAGTTGAGACTCAAAAGATTATAGACCCAAATGAGCAGAAAGAAGAGAACGGACAAAAGATAAAGAAGTGAAAAAGGTTGGAAAATTAAGGGTCCATATTTGCATAACAGAAGGTCTATTTATCATTTCTCATTACTTTTTATCTTTAGGTCTTTCTCTCCTTTACCCTCATTTGGGTCTCCTTTGAGAGCCAACTCTAGCTTTATTTAGTATACCTTCCTCATTCACACATTTCTATTTGAAAATATTTCTTTTCCACTCAAAAATAAAGTATGTATAAAGGTTTACGGCTTTGTGGAACTTCTTTTTTGAGTTTATACCGTTGAAATAAATAAATAAATAATTAAAAAAATTATCAGTTCTGTGTACACGTTTATTGGGCCACATTCGAACTTGCCTTGAGCCGCATGCGGCCCGCGGGCCGCGGGTTGGACACCCCTGATCTAGACAGAAATTTAATAGTCAAAATACAACCAAATCTGGTAAGTGACATTTCAAGACATACAAAGGCATTCCTATAAAAATATTAGTACAAAATCTCTTCATTATGTCACTTTTAATACTGCAAGCAACGACATTTTATTCGCATAAGATACTCATGCTATATTGAGATCATAGTGGTACGGGATATTGTTTAATGTGGGGTCCTCACATTGAACAAAATCTGAAGACGATGAACAGTGTATTCAACGGCTGGCCGTAAATGATCCTCTGTGATGTTTCATAGAGGATCATTTACATCCAATATGATTCTATCTTTCGAGGCTGCCAAATTTGCACCTTTCCTACAACCAAAATTCACACAGATTAATTAAAGATCGTAAGACTCGCAGTATTGAAAGCACTGTAGTGGCAAGTTTCGATACTAGATTTTTACACAAATGTCTTTCGCATACTTTGAAATATCACCATAGTAAATTTGGTTGTACTTGGATTAAATATACTTCTAGAGAGCGTTGAATATGAATACTTTAACTACAATCATTCAGTGTATTATATTTTTCGACTACTATAGACAGCTTAATTTTAGAAATACACATCAAAATTTACAAATTTACAATACAGTCGACCCACCTATAACACAGTAGATACGTTCCGGTTTTTATGAATCCATTTTCTACGAGTCCAGCCAATCACAGCCCGGCACGTGTGCAGTTTACGGACTACGGCTATTTGAAAGGTTTCTTCCATAAAATTAATCGATTCTGGACTAATTCGACTCAACATTTCCAAAATACATATAATTTTTTGGGAATAATCCATATAAACTATGCACGAGTGTGCACAGTTCGACGACGCCATTGCTTAAGCTTGTTTTCGTCGTGGAGCTTGTCATCGAATGGCGCTCGCGTGCTTCCTGATAAATTATTTTTTTTGCGAAAAATTCACTGAACTTTGGAGACATCATTAATATAAATATAATTTTTAGGGACGTTAAATAATAAATGGTTTTTAATAGGTCCGCTGCTCGTTTAAACTCAACGGTTTGTACAATATCCGCTATTGGTCTAGATTCGACCAATCCTGTCGCGACACGAGTCGGCGATGACGTTTTATCGAATTATACGAGTTTTTTAGCATGTTTGTACGAATATTGTCGCAATTTTTTCGCCATGATATAGGAATCCGAACTATAGGAACTCGTGTTATAGGGAGGTCGACTTTAATTATAAAATATAAAAGTAACATTGGTTATGGGAATTGAAAATTTCCAGTACATTAGACAGTCAATAATTATTGTAACGAAAATATTTCTAACATCTTGCCAAACCGATTTATAACGAGTTATTTAAAAAGTTACCGTCATGAATAGAGAACAAAAACTATATTTACTTGTTTATGTACTGTATAAATGCATAGATTTATATGTTATTTTACAAAAAATAATTCAAAAATTTTGAATTAAACGTTACATAAAAAAGTCAAATAATAAAAATAGATACATGATTTAGTTTCAATAATATCGGTTTTCATTTAAAAACAATATTTTCTCTTAATGATTAAATTAAAAAACTTTTTAAAAAACTTTTAATAATGCTTTGCATATCAGATAACATACTGAAAAAGAATTTTATTTTTAGCAATAGATTTAATAAAAACAGTTTTTTTAAACATTCGAAAATAAAATTTACTAAATTAATAATTAAAATAATTAAAAAATAATTTTTAAAAATTAGTAATTAAATAACTTAATTTTTTTATGGAATAAAAACCATCGAGTTAATAAATATACTCTCTTATATAAAGAATTAAAAATATATTTTTATAATCATACAGTATTAGAATAAGAAATATTTCTTATTTAATAATTTAAAAAAAATTCTATAATTAGGGATAAATTAATTACTTACCAGTGGCATCATTAAAAACTTACTAAAGACTCCAATTATAGGTCCTGCAGGTTGTTTTAATACTTTGATAATTTCTGTAATATCCAGCTGGCATCCGATATTTACATAATTAAGAGTAATGATACTGACAAGAGCAATTTTAAACACCCTCGCCCAAACAGATTCTACTGTAATAACGCTGACATGATAGGTATAAATATATTCGAAATCCAAAAGTTCAAATGTTGAACAATTAGTTGGTTTCAAAATTAACAAGATTTCTGTAAATCCACTGGACTTAGCTTTCAACTCAAAACTGTAATTTCCACTTCCAGCTTTAAGACAAGAAGTTATTCTATGTCCAGATATTTCGACAATTTTACTATTGAAGTAGTAAGAAACGTGAAAACTTATTCCAGATCTGAAAAACTTTGATGTTTCTGCAAGATACCAATATACTCTTTTTGTAATTCCTCGTTCGAGTTTATTTAAGCTGTCCGGTTGAAAAACGATACGCGGTTTTAAAAAATTAAATGGCAACGATGCAATCATAAACAGCATAATAAAATGTCCCAGCATAGAAATATGCATTACAGTTTTAAGAATATTGCTTATAATCCTTGAACTGATAAACATTTTTATTTAAAAAATGTTATAATTTTCCTATTCTTTGCTTGAATGAATGTGTATAAATATGAGAAATATTTTTATTTTACTTTATTTTTTAGCTGAAGGGATTTGTAGGCCTATTTAAAAAGTTTTTTTGATATGAAGCTTTTCCTATTTTGAATTACAGACATTTTTAAAACATAATAAATCATTCAATTATTTCCGACAAAAGTTCCTAGGTGTATTTTAAAGTTTCGCTCTAGATAAATATATTCAAAAGGAAGTTTTTATACGTATTAACTCCATTTTTCCGCTTTAATTTCATTTCCACTTCATCGATTTTTTCAAATCGTTGATTTTAAGGAAATCCTAATAAAATGAAAGATAGTATATAATTATTATATACTTATCGTGCTGATAAATATCTTTCTGAGGATAAAAACTTTAAAAAGTATTGATCTAGTTGGAACATATCTAAAATTCAAATTAAAATTCCTTAAATAGATATAGTGAATCATTTCCTTTGTAGTTACATTCAATGGGATAACAGCTTATACATGTTTATTTACATTTATACAGTTTACAGTATTACTGTCTATTTATAAAACAGTTAAAAGTATTATACGTTTACTTATAAATTCTTATCTATTTTACTAAAATATTTTCATACATTATCAATTGCTTTTTGTTCAGATTATTACAGAATTGCCTATCGAATATATATTATACAAGCAGATCATTAAAAAGTGCATATAAAAATAAATAATAACCATAAATAATTATAACTGTTTATAACATACAGAAACGGATTAAGACCTTTCCTATGCCTAAGCATAGAAGATTGGTGCCCTTTACATAATTTTATGACATCCTAATCTAATAACTTTAGCTATAGACTAATAACTGTCTAATTGTAACTATAGAATTATATACAAATTATGATCTATACTAATATTATAAAGAGGTAATGTTTGTATGTATGTTAGTTTGTATGCAAATCTCCGAAACTACTCATCCGATTTCAAAATTCTTTCACCAATATTTAGAATGGAACTTCAGGGTGGACATAGGCTGTATATTATTCCGTTAAACATGGGAGATGGACAGTTCTTTACGGTAAGCCTTACGGGAAAGGCTTACCGTAAAGAACTCTGCTTCTATTTATACTATTTTAAATGCGGTTTTTTGCGTTTTTGATTGCGTTTTAATAAAGTACGTCAACAGAATGTACACTAAGAAGGAATTTTTCGATATTCCCTCCGCGGGGGAGAGAGACAGGATGAAGGCTTACTGTGAAGAACTTGGCTTCTATTATACTATTTTAGATGCGGGTTTTTGCGTTTTTGATTGCGTTTTAATAGGGTACGTCAAGAGAATGTACACTAAGAAAAAATTTTTCGAAAAATTTTCCCCCACGGGAAAAGTGTTATACATTTATAATAGATACATTTTGAGCCACAACAAGGCATGGCGGGGTCTGCTAGTATATTGATACAATTGAAACGGTGAAAATTGCTTTTTTTTCAATTTCGGTGCTCCAGACATGTGAAACACTTGTCTAGTGGGTAATCTGGTGCCATACTTCAAAGTATCCCTCGAAGAAGGTATCCGGGAGATACTTTCAGGTAACTCAATATGTCTATCCAGAACACTTTGACGTTACATACTGCACACCTCCATAAGTTCGAGATTACCTCAAACTATCAAGAGCAAAAATAAATAAATTTAAAGGAAATACATTCTTAATATCGTCTTTCGACTACATTTATTTGATTTTCTTATGTATGTTGTCTTCTTTTGATACATTTACTTGATTCGTAAGTTATTAATTAAAGCCTGAGAAATCGATATAAAAATCAGTGCACAGCGGATCTTTTGAAGACAAGAAAGTCTATTTGCTGTTATTGCAATGACAGAAATACGTTTGTGTGGATGCCATTTACACACACCAAAGAGATAGCCTATAGATGAAGCGATTTTTCTTGTCAACAAAAACTACCACTTTTGAATCTTTTTAAAAAAAACGATGAAAGTTAAATTTCTCAGAATAAACAAAACGAACGCTAATAAGACAAATTTAAAATGCTTATACTCTATATGAGATGTCCATTTTCAAGCATCATTTTTTACGTAAAATGCATAGGATAATTTGTGTTTATACTTGTATATTTAACTCAATAATTTTAAAAAATTAAACATTATCCATAAAAGAATTGTTAGTGTTATTATTGTTTTGCATTCTAGCATCTTTCTGGCATTGATAAATTTAGTTACCTGCAGCTTTTTCATGGTTTATTTTCCAAAATAATCAAATTTGGCATAAAAAATTTTTAAATTTCGAACCATATTGCTTCAAAACGTCATTATGCACTAAAAAATAATGATTATTTATTTATTTATTAACATCAAATATTAACAAAAGAAAAAGATAAAAGTAAATTGAAAAAAATATATATAATTGGTTATTATGATTTCTGTTAATTAATAAATAATCAATAATGCATTTTATAATCATAATAACATAGACAATTAAATCTATTTGACCTGACAGTTTGAGATATATTCAGGCACATTGAGGTACTGTACTGTACTGTACCTGAAAGTTCCCATACAGATTAAAATAGATCCTGACACATTGAAAGTGTTTTTATAAAAAAACTTACAAACTCCATTATTTATTTTAATTTAATATTATTTAATATATAGCGTATTACTTAATTTTAATGTGGGTATTTTAATTTTTAATTAATTTAAACAATTTTTAAACTTATTTATAATAATTAATAATGCTACGTATTTATTTTAATGAAGTCGAAATATTTATCTAGCAAAAAGCAATTTTTAAAATGAATGTATTTTTATTATTTAATGTAGAATTAATTAAAAATAGTTGATATTTTCTATAAATCTCGAATGAAATGTATAACAGATGAAAGCAATGTTAATGAAAATAAAGCAATAGATTTACTAAAAATATAAAGCCATGATTACTTTTAGTGTTAATTATTATAANAACGATGAAAGTTAAATTTCTCAGAATAAACAAAACGAACGCTAATAAGACAAATTTAAAATGCTTATACTCTATATGAGATGTCCATTTTCAAGCATCATCTTTTACGTAAAATGCATAGGATAATTTGTGTTTATACTTGTATATTTAACTCAATAATTTTAAAATCAATTAATTAATATTAATAACATAAATGCAAATTTTTGAATTTGGTTCACCACATTAATTCATTATTCGTAATTAATATGCATATTATTGACATTAGAAAACAATAAATCCGTAAATATATAAATTTTTAGCGAAAATCTATGTAGTATTATGTTAATTGCTTCTTGTCCTTATTTTAAGTATTCTAAAAAATGTTCACGAGAACTTTATTTAAGAACTTGTTATATCAAGAGCACACAGAAACTATAGGACGACAATCCTTTGAAAAACGATTAGTTTTCCCTCTAGATTTTTTCATTGATGTAACAAAGAAATCCTTAAATAAAGTAAGATTCTCGCGAACATTTTTTAGAATAACTATGAAATAAAATCGGAATTTTTCTTTTGTTGTTTGTTATCTATCCAAATTAAACAGTAAACAACAAGTAGAATAACTTTGGCTTTAAAAAACTACATTTTAATAAGCCAGTAAATCCATTTTGTTACTTTAACTTCTTGACAATAATTTAATTTATGATAAAATGTTATATCTTGAAATGGTTACATATTTTAATATCCTTATTGATTGCCTTCATGTATTACTTTATTTTAAAAACAAAAAATTATAGGATATATTTACAGCTTCATATGAGAGTATATATATTAAAATTATAAGTATTTATTTTTAATGTTCGAATAATTAGAATAAAATTTTAAATTTACTTTAAATACATAGAAATACATTTATACAAAGTTAATAAATATTAACCTTTATAATTTTATATTTTTTAAAGAAATTTTATAAAATAAAAATTAAAAGAATATTAATTAATAATTAAATAAAAACTTTTTAAAACGGAAACGATTGTAACACAATATTATACTTAAAATTAATACAGCAAAATCATAAATTTATTTATAAAAATAATTATTTTTATAAATTAATCTAAATTGAATTTAATTACCATAAAT